TTTCAGTTTGTACATAGGAGTGATGGTTGTACTTTGTGTTTATTATTAAAGTTATTGTGGGTGCTGCTGGTGTACCGGAGTGCAATACATTTTAATATGTTCCTAATAGATTGCCTCCCTTCTGTATGCTAATGAGTTTAAAGAGCATTTTGCATTGAATTGCATTAGATTTCACAAATGTACCTAATAAAATGGTCAGTGAGTGTATAATGCAGTTTTATATTCAAATTCATGAATTGTCCCTGATTGTTTTGCTTGGACTAGATGGACAGAATATGAAGAAAGAAAAACTTTTTTCCCACAGGAAAATTGCATTTCAAGTTTAGCATTAAAGCTTCGTCTCTGTTAATGGAAGCCGACACAGAGCTGAACGCAGAGGAGCGCTGTCACATAAAACTAAGAAAGTTGTCTATTCTCAGACTCTATATGCGACCATATAGCTATTATAAGGAACCTTTCCGGAAAATGTGTTTTTTCCGGCTCCTGGGTTTTCCCTTTCATTTAGGCTGTCATTTCCTGTGGCGAATACCTCACTAGTGATTATTCCATTAAGATCTGGGACAGTTCCCATGCTGTTGGTTTGAAGAGAGCAGATGAGACGTCTGTAATCACAGATCAAGTAAACGTCGTTGAGATGCAGAGCAGAGCTTTGTTGCTGCGAGTTTGCTGTTGTTTTTCATCTTTTTCATGTGGGCTGCCGTGTGTGAGGTTGCTTCTTAATCTGCAGCAGAGCCAACCACTTAATCACATCATCCAAGACAGTAATGGACTATTTTCCAACAGCTTTAAAATCTTGGTAATTACGCCTGTTGGAGTGCAGGCGATAATGTCATTTAAGACACTAAATTAGTGTCTGTGACGAAGATGCATCAGTTGACAATCAGGACTACACCCATCGCAAACAAACAAACCACACGCGTTATCTGCTGTCGTAATCCACTAAAATAATAACCTGCTTTTTCCTTATTATACATTGGCGCGGGTTTTAAAATAGATTTTGTCGGCAGGCCTTAGCATCCCCCATTAGACGTATGAAGCTGCTGCAGCAGAGCTAATGACAGAGGAGGAAACCCGGAGCGTGGACGTAGACGAGGAGATAGATGCTGCCCTCTGGAATGTTTTGAAAAGGGGAGGGGTGGCACACAGGAAGTGGCATGGGATTGGATTTGGCCAGCAAGGACTGTTGTGTGGGTGTTGGGGCATGCACGCAGACACACACGGCAAGGTCAGGGCGTTCAGTGCCAGCTGTCACGCCAGCTGATTCATGAGGCCACTTCTGTGGTTTTCCCTCAGGAGTCCAGTCGTTATGATTTTGAGATGACTTCATCCGAATGATACAAGGAGACTTGAAGTTGTTCTTCTGTTTAAGCAGACGTAACCCACCCTTGTCTTATGCACGTTTAAGAACGGGCAATTATTTGTTATGATGTCTAAAACAAAAGTATTTCATAGCTTGTTTATGCTTTAGATCACAGTATAATATTCAAATGAAGCATTTAGCAATGCTAGTGATGACAGTGTCTGTTGTTGGGCGCTCTACCACTGAAATATCTCAACAACTACTCAGTGGATTGCCGTGAAATATGCTGCAGACATTCATATTCCCCAGAGGAAGTATCCTACTGGTTAACAGTCTCCTGGTACTTAACCTAGTGGCACTGTTAGGGTGACGGTTTAGATTCAGAGTGAAGCATTGGACTAATTGCTATTAAACTGGGTACTGACACTAGAATAACTTCATCCCTTTACAAACTTTCCAAAGAGCATCGTCATCATGTCAAACTTTTAACTAGTCCTGTACTTTCATATAATACATATGATCAAGTAGCTAATGACAATCCCATTAGCCTCTGCTGTACTTTGTTATAGTAAGTGTTAATGCTGAACTAAGGATTGTTTTCACTGTAAATGAATCTGTCCATTATTTACTCGAATAAACAAATTAATTGTTTGATCTATAAAATATCAGAATATCGTGAAAAGTACCAATCAGTGTTTCCCAAGATGGCATCCTCAGATGTAGTGCTTCGTCCACAAACCAAAGATGTACAGTTTATAGTAATAGAGGAGAGGGGAAACCAGAAAATATTCACATTTAAGGTGTTATATTCACTGAATTTAGACTTTCTTTACAAAATAAAAAAAATAAAAAATGGCGATTAATTTAACAGTTAACAATTAATGGACTAATCACTGCAGCCTGGTAAATGTGATCCTGCCAACGTGCCAACATCAGATAAACAGGGTACCTGCAAAATAGCATGTTAGCATGCTAATGTTAACGCGAGGTATTGCTGTGCCAATGTATAGCACTTCAGATGACTGCAGACTTTGAGTCCACTGGGCCTATTAGGCAACTTTTCACTGCAGGAATGTGGAGCAGGTGCTGGTTTTATTTTTGTTTAATACCCATCCTGAAGTGAGGATTAATTGCAGGACTGCTGTAGTTAGAGTTAGGTGTACCTAATAAACTGGCTATGCAAGGCGATAGCAGCTGCAACACTGAAGAGTTTACCTGAGGTCAACCTCCTGTGACAGAGATGAACAGCCGTTAAGGAGCCCCGATGTGGGAACATTTTTCATACCTGTTTCACTGCATTCCAGCATTAAGACTGTGCAGCGTAGTATCCAGTAAAACGCAACCTGCTGGTTAGGTTTTTAAGGCAGTGAGACATCACCAGAGCATCTGCACTTTAGTTGTCCCCGCCCATCGTTACTCATTTATTACTTGTCGTACTTGTTTGGATGAAAATCCAGTCGGCTGCAGTACAAAGTCAGATCACTCTTCATGAGGAGCATCACTGCAGGGTTTTCGCCTGTCAGGGTGAAATAGTCTGTTTTTTGTGGGCTTTTGTTTGGTTGTCTGTGTTGACAAGGCATGACACAGAAAACAGTCTTATTGGATTGTACCATTTCTACAACAGAGAGGGTGTTTTTGTACAGATCTGTAAAATGATCCCACAGCTGCAGCGTGTCAAATGTGGCTGGCGTCTTCCTGTCAGAATTCTTTCTCCTTTTATTTGACTTCTTTCCCACCTGAGCTGTTACACAAACATTTTAGGAAAGAGGAGGGAAACTCACAACTACTTTTCCTAGATCTGTGGGGTGGCAAAGTAGAACTTTTTGTTAGAGAAATGACTAACTGTTTAAGGTATCATCTCTATTATCTTCATTTCCATTTCTCTTCCAGGAAGCTCATATCATGCCTATATTTCAATATTTAATAGTTATGTAGTATTTTGGTAAAGCACTTAATTAATCCTCCTCAGACGTTGTGGGACAGAAGGCCAGTAGCAGTTCCTCTCTTTTTTTTATTTTAGCCCCCTGCTGTGCCTCAGAGAGACCATCATCCTCAGAGTGCTTTAAAAAGATTTGGGATCTGTGTTTAGAACTGTGTAACCCTGTGCAACCCTCTGAAATCTGTTTGATCCCCAAGATATTTTGAACACTAATTTGCATCAACCCTGCTGTTAAAAATTTAGCAGAGAGGCTGCTGCTTCTGCACTCATCCATCTTGGGATGCAAGCAGTGTAGCAGGATTAATTTAGTATGTGTGTGCTGGATGGTGTGTAACTGGCCGCTGACCTTTGTTTCTGCTTGTATCCACAAATCTCCTGTCGGCTCTCTGCACGATGCCACTTTATCAGAGGGTTTTCTGAAATACATGCCTCAGACATTGAATTAGATGAAACTGAGGCTGAGTTGGGGCTGCAAGGTGGAGCAGTGGTTAGCACCGTTTCCTCGAAGCAAGAAGGTTGCCGGTTCGCGTCAGGGTGAGGACACCCGGGATCTTTCTGTGTGGAGTTTGCATGTTCTCCCCGTGCAGCTTGGGTTCTCTCCGGGTTCTCCAGCTTCCTCCCACACAGTCCAAAAACATGTTGAGGTTAACTGGTGATTCTAAATTGTCCGTAGGTGTGAATGTGAGTGTGCTTGGTTGTCTGTCTCTAAGTGTGGCCCTGTGATAGACTGGTGACCTGTCCAGGGTGTCCCCTGCCTTCGCCCTAAGTCAGCTGGGATAGACTCCAGCCCCCCACGACCCTAGTGAGGATTATAGATGATGGATGAGGCTGAGTTGCTGCAGCAGCAGCAGCAGCAGATGTATTATACTGTAGGTAATAATGACACTAAGGATTAGGTAACACATTCTTCAGTACATTACAAACAACACGTTTGCCACATCAAATAATATGTGAAATGTACAAAACACTGTTTCTGTTAGATGTACAGGCTGCAGTAATCAGGTGGTGCAACACAAATATATAAAAATGCATCAAAGCATGTAAATATCAGCTAATAATTATTTCACATTATCACTAAAATATGCAACATTTTCCAAAGCCAGTCTGTACTGTATGCCGTACTGTACACCTCTATGTATGTATGGTTTCCATGACATAGAACATTTTGTTATGGTAACCTCCTGACTGGATTCAGGCAGGGGGAGTCAGTCTCATGCGATACAGTCGTGGTTCTTTCCTGTCGTAAAATTAATTTCAGCACCAACTGTCCTTTAGCACCTCTGTTGAGCTCCACCAGAGCTGGTGTGGAGCCATAAGGGTCCGGCTTGTGTGTCCGTCTCCAAATATCCCAGTACGCAGATTCCCAGGTGACTGCTTTTTTCCCACCACATTGGTGAAACATGATTATCTAATCACAATCAGATATGGTGTTAGGGAGTGGCCTATATCACATATGTACTACTACCTACTTCAAAGACTGTTGAACTTGAAGGCCTGATAATGCCGGGGAGCTGGCTTTGTTCTTGACCACCAGGTCTGCACAGTGGATGTAAACATGTTCTCCTGGTTGCCCTTGCTTTTTATTTGCTTTTACTGCCTCTTGAAATTATTGGGTTATATTAATAAATTAAAAGGAATTTTAAAAGCAGATGATCATTTAAACTATTTTTTGTAAAACATATCTCTCAGCAGCCGTATGTTTGCACTGGTATTGACTTACAGGGTATTAGTAGTCACATGTTCCCTTTCTCTCCTTTACAGGGGTGTTGTTGAGCGAGTTGCCCCGTCCATGCCGGATGATGCTGCTGGTGAACCCACAGAGTGGGAAGGGACAGGCGCTCATTCTGTACAACAACCACATTCAACGGATGCTCAACGAGGCCGGCGTCATACACACTCTGGTTATTACTGGTAAGTTGTAGGCACAGAGATCTAAATTTGCAAGTGTTTCTAAAAATATATATATTTACTTAGTCATGATGAGACATTGAGGGCGGCATGGTGGTGCTAGTGGCTAGCAGTGTTGTCCGTTTTGGTCTCAGTGCAGATCAAGGCGTTTTTGGATCAGTACTGACTCTAACTTTAGCCCGATCCTTTGTTTATGTTCGCTGTCACACAGGTGTCATGTAGGGATAACACAACTTATGGCAAGACGCCAGGAATGTAAAATTTAAGAAAATTTCATGATTACTAATCAGCAATTTTATCAATCCTCAATTAACTGATTCCACATATTCAGCGTGGTGGGTTTTTGTCCAATGCTGGTATTGATGGTTGTAGTCAGCGGACACATGGGCGGACTGTGTGACATATGTACGTGGGATATAGGAGATCTGTCCTAGTTGACCCTGGTGCGTCATAAACACTTGAACTCTGACCAGAGGCCATTAAGCATTTCAGGAGTCTTCGTCATGGTGGCTCCACAACGCTCTCTGCTTACCAACATGGAACTGCTCATACTCTTGAGTGGCACCTCCTCTGGTTCTGGTTTGCTACAGTTTTAAACAGTACCAGTCACTACTTCCTGGTGCACAGCTGATGTACACTACATTTCTGACATGCAAGTAGAAAATGCAGGTTTTTGTCCTCTTTTGATACACCCCACACTCTCAACACTAAATTCCAGTCAAGGCCCTACCAGAGCTTTACAACAAGTGTTTTTTTTTTATCACCTAGGTAACACTGAGGAACAGCTTGGAGCTGAAAGATGTTTTTTTTCTGACTGGATTACAGAGCTATTCAGTTGTCAAGCATATTGGATTGATTTTAATAACTTTATTGTACTTGAAGTGTGTGTTGTCAAGGAAAACGGTCTCTGATTGGGTCTCAGTATCAGCAGATACTGTATATTCAATGATTCAGATCTGATGGGGGTAAAAAAGACGTGTTTAGGACATCCCTAGTCTGGAAACAAAAATGCAATCAGAAAATAACAGTGCAGTCTGTCCTAAAGATGTGATTTAAGAAACAAATATTATTTCCCTGCAGTCTGAAAACAGCCCAAGACTGCTCACATTCATTCAAGGAGTTTGAAAATTAATATTTGTTCTCTGCAAGTCTTTTTTGTATTCTGCCTGCATTTGGCAAATGAGGCAAAGACTTAATTTGTTTCTGATGCAATAGACGAGGATGTGGGTTGCAGTGTAAACTAGTGTTTTGTCTATGAAGGCCCGGATCAATTCCCTTTGAGTCATATATAATAAACATCCTTGAGCAAGATATTTAATCTTTATCTGCTCCACTATGTTGGAAGAAATTGGCCTTAATAAATAAATCCATCCATTATCTATACACCGCTTAGTCCTCACTAGGGTCGCGGGGGGCTGGAGTCCATCCCAGCTGACTTAGGGGGGACTTCGGGGACACCCTGGACAGGTCACCAGTCTATCACAGGGCTACACTTAGAGACAGGCCTAAATAAATAAATAAAATCAAATAAGGAGTTATCTTCCTTCCTTTGATTTTTATTTCACCTGAGTAAACAGACCTTGAATAGAAAAAAAAAAGACGCAGAACTTCACACACTTACATCAAGAAGGAAACAACACACTCATCTCTTAGATCTCTTGAACTCTAATTGTTCTTTTATCAGTGTAACATCATCTGTAAAAGTATTTTCCGGTCTTATGCGACAAACAAGTGACACAGCCTTGTACACAAACAGCTCTCGCAAATCTGTCTCCTCTGGCATGGCAGTAAAGGACAGCGAATGATCACACTGACAAACACACACAATGATACCCGCAGCTCAGCACAGACGACGACGACAACAACAACAACAACACCTTCTTTCATGTCCCTGCTTTCCACTCTCTCTGTATCCCCTCCTCTAGTTTAAATCCTCTTCTTGTTTTCAGGCTGTCACCATCATTATGCTGATCAACTGCCTCTGACCCATATGCATGCAGAGATGTTATGTAATAAATATGTGTACACACAGTCGGACACACATATGGATGAGAACACATCCATCATAAACACACACACATATTCGCACAAAATCCCCTTTTGCCATGATTTGTTTTGATATAATCTTGGTGGGCCCCGATGTCAATGTGTTCATAGTCATCTCTGTAATCTACTCCGGGTGGTAATGATCACACAGCGCAGTATTGGAAACACTCACTCATCCCTTATTGTACCGTGACAGATAGATAACTTATCAGCCGTAGATGCTCTCAGCCGCGGATCATTTTAAATTATTCGGATTTTTCTTCGTGTGTCATTTTCAGTTTCACCCTCTGCCTGTGTTTGTTCATAAATCAGCGCTGTGTCAGCTCGCAGACAAAAGAATATGTCTTTCATCACAGTGGTAGGTGCACAGCAGAAGAAAAGAGGGCAGACAGAGAGAGAATCAGAGCCCGGAGGAAAGACATGAGAAATCCTCTTGTACTGTGCAGAAAATGTAGAAAACACAAAAAAAACTTTTTTTTTTTATTCCAGAGATGTACTTTTTGATAAGTTAATCCTGGAGATAAGAATAGAATAATCCCCAAATCTACATCCATGCAACAGCGTGACCACTGAAAGGGAAATTTAGAAACCTCTGTGATCTCTCAATCTCTTTAACTGATCAACTTCTGAAATAAATCTTTGTCTCTAATCTCTCCCAAACGGCCCCGCATGAAGCCCCGGTAGGAGTGTATTAAAGATCTCCAGCAGGCATGTTCAGAGATGTACGCCCCCTCGGGGTTAGAGAAAAAGTATTTAGGGGGGAGAATCTGTGGGAACGAGTTAATAATCTTCCTGACCTTGGCCCCCGCTGCGGCAGGGAGGTCGCGTTGTGTCAACTTGCAAAACCTGTCAAGTATCTACTGTAGCTGGCTGTGCGTCTTGATCAAAGTTTTGAGGATAAATTTGCATGTTTGCCATCTGTGTGCTCTGTTTATTAATCTGTTCCCACTGATTCTTGTGCCCATGGGGACTCAGCTGAGATTCGTAAAATGATCTGATTTAAAATTGAATTCTCTTTGGACGTGATTTTTCACATTAAATAGAGTTACCTGTTCGGAAATCCTTACAGTTACATCTACGAATGTGAATGTGCATTTTTTGCTTTTAGTCCGACTACTCCTGTGCTCCTTGTTAGTTTGCAGCACATCAACATCACATGGTGTCAGGTGCTTATCGGACCAGGATTTGCTTTCAAACTAGTTGTCATGCTCACAGATAGACAACTTCTGCTGCATTCGATGCCCATTGGAAGTGAACCTCAAAATTCTGTCATTTTAGACCAGTGTGTACGCTCGATGCACAAAGTGGGGGAAAAAAAACTGCAGCTGTCTCCAGATTTGCTTTATTACTCAACAAACCTGCAGTTCACTTAACTGAGGAAACAGAAGAGCAAAAAAAAGGCTCACAGTTTAACTAATGTTTCAGACATTTAGTGACTGTGTTTGTGTTACTGCTTACTGTGTAAGCTGCTATTTTGGGGAATGATTTCAAAAGCACAAGTCAGAGTTGGGAACTCTTGTCTGAAATTCCTCCTAGTTTTGCTCGCTGTTGGCTCATTTTTCAGTGCAATATGAAGTTCTGCACCTCTATGGAAAAAAATCACAGTGGTTGCCAGACAAAGAGAGAACGCAGAAATGTCCTGTGTGCAGTGTGACACAGTTAGAACGACATGAATCATTACAAAAACAGAACCTAAAACTTAATTAAAACAAAAAAAAAGGTATTTAAAATACCGTAAGTCAACATGTACAGCATTTAGGAATACTGAAAAATAATGGTGACTCTAAATACTATGAATAATTTACCACTTACTATATTTTATGTAACACAGCCTGCAGTTCAGTCGACTTAATAAAGTACATTTTTGTTACGTGACTGTTGTTTGCAGCGGAGATGCTCATAGCTTCTTGGTTGTGCTCATGAGTGTCATTTTCTGTTTTTTACGGAACCTGTTTAGTACAAATGGTTTTGTTTTTTTGGTGATTTTTTTTTTTATTGAGACATGTAGGAGTGATTTTGGTGCTGTTTGGAAAGGGAGGCTTAACTCTGAGAAGCAAAAAATCTGTTTTCTAATGTGTTTGGCAGTAACACTTTCTAACAACATGTCTAGCCGCTCTTGTGCGGTGCTGGCATCTGTACGAAGCGTATGGCTGCAAGTCTCTGGTATGTGGAAGCTAACAGAAGTAGACAGACTCATTATTGGATCCTTGGTTGTGTGGCAGCTGTGGGCACTGCCAGGGGTGGAGGATAGATGAAGGATGACTGCGCTGCTGGAGGGCTGCGGTGAAGAGGGTGGAGAGTGTGTCGGTCCGTGTGTGTTTTTTGCGTTTGCTCGTGAGTTTCTGCACGTGTAAAGACGGCACACTGATTCCTCCCAGGCAGTCTCCCTCGCTGCTCAGGCATCCTATGACGTCTGTCAGACAGTATTAATTAAATGATGTCTTGCTCTTCTGCACGGACTCATGTGCTCAATACAGATTACAAATATTAACCGCAAGAGATGGATATCCCCGGAAACAGCTTCACAGCGCTGCTCCTTTTCCGTCTTTCTTTCAGTCTTTTGTTTCTTTCATTTATGACAACAATCCACTTGCTCTCTTAAAAAAGCGTCGCGGCTCACTGAGCAAAGTGTTATTCGGCGGAGCTTCATTCTCTGCTTACAGCTCATGTGTGCCAGAAACGAGGGCAACGAGAGGACAAGGATCCTGGAAACATCGGAGATCCCACAAAGTTATGAGAGGAAGCAATTTATAAATATTTCAAAGCTTCTTGTTAAAGAAGAATTCAGGAAATCTCACTGGAGCAGTGCAATAAAGCTGCACAAGACAACTGACAATTTGACAGCTGCTGTAGACAACGTTACACAATGGTGCCTCGCAACAGTACAGAGACATTGATCTAAAATACCACAAGTCCTGGGAGACAACACAGCAAACTCAGACACACAGTTGGCTCAT